TATATATATTACTGTAGGGGGATCACACTCCCATACCCAGTTTGGGTATAAAACTGAAGACTGACAGTATAAGTTAAGGATGAGGGTAAGGATGCATTTGTGGTTTATAAGGTCAGATTTTTTATTATTACACTGAACTAATACCTGAAAAAGTAGAAAAAAATCAACCATTATTACCTTATTATCATTACCACCACATTCACATGTCATTGATGTTTTATTTCAAACAGGTCAGTTTTGGATGTATGTGGCTGAGACACTAAAACCTTAATATCAATAAAATAATGTGACACATGACTATGTTCACAGTTTCTTCTGTTAAAATCATCTTCTCATGTTTTCATAGAAAGATGATGAAAGAACCTGTAGAAGAATCACCAACTAAAGCAGCTTCCACAGCAGGTAGGAGATCAATGGTTTGTCTGATGAGCTGTATGGATGTAAAGAGAGAAGGTACAATCCTTTGCCGTTTTGTAACACTTATTGGAAAAAATTTGTCAGAGCACTTGCACATAGTTATCTATATACTGTCTTTAAAAATGGTCACGAATTCAAATCTGTTGCAACATGTCTTAATCTTTCTTTGGCACATTTTCATAACAACTGTCAGTCTAAGGGGCTTGGAAAAGCAAGCAACTTCACTCAAAATGATCTCCTTGTCATCAATGTTTGAGGGGGATACATGTTTATGTCTCTTCCTTCTTCTTGTAGAAGAGGAGCTTGCCAGGGTGCGGTCAGCTTTTGTTTGGAGGGTGTCAACAGAAATCCTTAAACAGCTCCTTGAGGCCCTTGTAAGTGACGGTGTCTTAAATGAATTGGAGAAAGAATCAATACTGGAAGGGAACCCAGTCAGAGCAGATAAGGCACGTTGCTTCATTGATACAGTGAGGAAGAAAGGGGACAAAGCCAGCAGGATCATGGTCAGACATCTTCAGACTATAGATCTCTCCCTTTTCTCTCAGCTGCGTTTATACTCTGATCCATCTGCTCAACAAGGTGAGTCCACTTTTCTCTGTAGTTTGTTGAGATGTGAAGTTTAAAACCTCAGAATTTAATATAATGAAAAGCAGAAAGCGGGAACTTCATTCCACAACATACATTTGGATTTATTAAAGGGCTGCTCACATGGAAAAAAAAAACCCTTTCCCAAACGGCCATGACGGAGTGAAGATCATTAGAAGATGTATTGGTAGCAGAATAAACCCTGCAATTACCTCTTAAATCCATGCCTGCAAGACCACTCTGACCACAATCATCACATGTACAAACTACAAACTACTGGAGAATAAAGAAAATCTCTTAGAGACATGCTGAAAACAACTCCCTGAAAAGTAATGAGGTGGAATAAGAAGTATGTTGTACTAACCAAGGGTTTTAAGTGTGTTGTACTTACAGAGTAGTAAACTAAAGTATTAACTTGAGAGAAATTATATCACATAAGCGTTTAACTTAAAATAGACTGCTCAGAATGATTTTTTTAACATAGATTTTTCTTACCTCTATTTATGTGAACAGTAATCTTATTTAGTTGTTAAAACCGTGAAAAACGAATTGCTTTTAAAAAAAAAAAGTAGTGTCACTTGTGTGACTTCTTGAGTGCTTCAGAAACCCATGAAGGAAAAATATTCCAGTCTTCTATGAGTCACAGTGTGCATAATCTCTTTTTGAGTTTATGGCAGGAATTTAATGTGAAATATTGAATTCCCCTCAGATGTTTATTTTAAACAGTGTAGGTAGCAGTTGAAAGACAGCATGAAAGTTCAGTGGGATTTTTTGTGACAAAATTTCGAGAAGTCCAGAGTTGAAAACCTGTTTAGTTTGTAAATGTTCCCATTGGTTACACAAGCCACAAAGCCAATTTTTTATTTTACATATGTAGGTTTAAAAACCTTTAGTGTGACTGCGCAGAAGTTCCATTTATTTAAATTATAACAGAACAGGAGCGTCTTTGGTTTGGTGATGATTTGTTGTATCTCAAGCTGAGCATCACTCAGTGAATGAAGCCAGATGTATTTTTCATGACATCAAGATTGAAGAAGCACAAATAATACAACAATCCAAACAAGAGGAAAAGTAATTTAAGTAACTCTTTGAGACCATTCGTTAAAATGTCAGTGGAAGTACACACTTGATCAAAAAGAAAGAGGAAAAGATTTGAAAAAAAAGGCACCTCTTCACATTTGCAAAGTGATATCTTTGCCCGTCCTTCATCACAGAAGCCTGTTTAAAACCAAACACAAAGATGGTAAATGTTGGTATAAGTGATCAGTCGTCACCATGCTCTTGTCCTGTGTACAATCACTGAAAGACACAGATTTGATAATATAATAAAATGACCTAAAACTTGTTAATGGGAAAGCTGGTAAATATATGATTGTTATGTGATGGCTAATATCCATCTGCTTATGTCCAAGAAGATAGACTAAATCATTCACTGTTGAATATAAACAACGTCAGCAGCTGTTTGGTTCTCTCCCACTTCCTCATCATGCTGTTAACAGGCAAAATACTACCTGCTGTCTCTCCTCCAGGCAGATACCCTGAAGCGAAAAAAAACTACAAGAAATATGAATAAACATTAGAATGTAAACAATGTCCAGCATCCAAGCTTTTTGGTTTAGTACTAATGCAACTGAAACAATTTCTCTTCACTTTAATAGCAGGATGGTGCACTTATAATTAATAAGATTTCTTCAGTATTGTAATTTGAGATCTAAGCACATTTGAAGAAAAAATATGTAAAAATGCAAAACAAAAAAAGAAGACAAAGAAATAAACAGACTGTTTTTTTTCTTGCTATTTTTAATGATTTATTTAGAGGCTCTTCAAAGTTGTCAGCCTCGGCTTAAATCTAAGTTGAAGAAGAAATTCCAGTGTGTGTTTGAGGGGATCGCTAAAGCAGGAAACCCAACCCTTCTGAATAAAATCTACACAAAGCTCTACATCACAGAGGGAGGGACTGCAGAGATCAGTGATGAACATGAGGTCCGACAGATTGAAACCGCATCCAGGAAATCAGATAGACCAGAAACCAGAGTCGGACAAGAAGACATGTTTAAAGATTCACCTGGAAAAGATGAACCAATCAGAACAGTGCTGACAAATGGAGTGGCTGGCATTGGGAAAACAGTCTTAACACAGAAGTTCACCCTGGACTGGGCTGAAGACAAAGCCAACCAGGACATCCAGTTCATATTTCCATTCACTTTCAGAGAGCTGAATGTGCTGAAAGAGGAAAAGTTCAGCTTGGTGGAACTTGTTCATCACTTCTTTACTGAAACCAAAGAAGGAGGAATCAGCAGCATTGAAGACTTCCAGGTTGTGTTCATCTTTGATGGTCTGGATGAGTGTCGACTTCCTCTGGACTTCCACAAAACTACAATCCTAACTGACCCTAGAAAGTCCACCTCAGTGGATGTGCTGCTGATAAATCTCATCAGGGGGAAACTGCTTCCCTCTGCTCGCCTCTGGATAACCACACGACCTGCAGCAGCTAATCAAATCCCTCCTGACTGTGTTTCCATGGTAACAGAGGTCAGAGGATTCACTGACCCACAGAAGGAGGAGTACTTCAGGAAGAGATTCAGAGATGAGGAGCAGGCCAGCAGGATCATCTCCCACATCAAGACATCACGAAGCCTCCACATCATGTGCCACATCCCAGTCTTCTGCTGGATCACTGCTACAGTTCTGGAGGATGTGCTGAAAACCAGAAGGGGAGGACAGCTGCCCAAGACCCTGACTGAGATGTACATCCACTTCCTGGTGGTTCAAGCCAAAGTGAAGAAGGTCAAGTATGATGAAGGAGCTGAGACAGATCCACACTGGAGTCCAGAGAGCAGGAAGATGATTGATTCTCTGGGAAAACTGGCTTTTGATCAGCTGCAGAAAGGAAACCTGATCTTCTATGAATCAGACCTGACAGAGTGTGGCATTGATATCATAGCAGCCTCAGTGTACTCAGGAGTGTTCACACAGATCTTTAAAGAGGAGAGAGGACTGTACCAGGACAAGGTGTTCTGCTTCATCCATCTGAGTGTTCAGGAGTTTCTGGCTGCTCTTCATGTCCATCTGACCTTCATCAACTCTGGAATTAATGTGCTGGAAGAACAAACAACCTCCCAGAAGTCTGAAACGGGACAATCTACACTTAAGCACTTCCACCAGAGTGCTGTGGACAAGGCTTTACAGAGTCCAAATGGACACCTGGACTTGTTCCTCCGCTTCCTTCTGGGTCTTTCATTACAGAACAGTCTGATTCTCCTACGAGGAATGCTCACACAGACAGGAAGAAACTCACAGAGCAGTCAGGAAACAGTCCAGTACATCAAGAAGAAGCTCAGTGAGAATCTGTCTGCAGAGAAAAGCATCAATCTGTTCCACTGTCTGAATGAACTGAATGATTGTTCTCTAGTGGAGGAGATCCAACAGTGCCTGACATCAGGAAGTCTCTCCACGGAGAAACTTTCTCCTGCTCAGTGGTCAGCTCTGGTCTTCATTTTACTGTCATCAGAAAAAGATCTGGATGTGTTTGACCTGAAGAAATACTCTGCTTCAGAGGAGGCTCTTCTAAAACTCCTACCGGTGATCAAAGCCTCCAACAAAGCTCTGTAAGTAAAAGTGTACTCATCCTTTTATTTTTGAAATATTGATTCTACTTAACATAAAAACAATCAAGTGAGCAATTTAAGAAATATAAACATCGTGATGGGTGCTGATTCATTAAAAAACCTTAAAAAATTGAAATGAATGATCATCTGCAAGCATATGATCCTTTTGAATTGTCAGAGCAGCAGAAATTATCAGCATTTCTGAGACATCTGTGGGTTTATCACTTGTCAAAGTACCTTCCAGAACTGTTTTCTTTGTACCAAAAACTCATCTACCAGTCCGGTGTTCTGTTACTGTTTACTCTTCAGTAGAGCAGGGCGATATGGCCAAAAATATTTATCACGATATATATTTGAAAATTTGCGATAACGATATAACTGACGATATAATTGATGCGAGACAAAATACAACTCCACAACATTACTAGTGCAAAAAGACAACCTTCCATTTATTTTCACTTAAACAAGAAGCTGGTTTTTATGTACATTAAAGCTTTATAAAAATGTAACAGTGCAAATGCAAATTCCTTGCTGAAAGTTTAACCAAAAGGCATTCCCAGTAGAAATGGGCTGACATATCCTGAGCATAACCATGTATAATATCCACTGAAGTTAAAAAGAGGTGCTTTGCAACATTAAACTGCAGTGTGCAGTACGTATTTTTCGGACCATAAGGTGCACGGGATTATAAGGCACATTAAGCGAAACAAAGCAGTCAGATAAATCAAACTTTATTAATCTCATTCTTCTTGCTTCCTCCACTTCTGTACCATTGATTCATTAATGTTGAATTCTCTGGCAGCTGCTCTATTCCCATGTTGTTGCAGTATATTAATGACTAACCTTGTATTGTGGATGGATTATCTCAGTTGTTCTCCTGACTGAAGTTCGGTCCGTTTACAGCATCCTGCCATGCGATTGCATTTGTCTCTAACTATCAGGAACCTTAGTGTTCGTCCTCCAGCTTCACTATTTATGTTATGCTAACATAGCTGTGTCGCTAGCGATCAGGTAGCACATCATTATATACCAGCTAGCCCAACTTCAGTAACCCTACAAACGTCACTGCTGTTTAGTTTCCTGTCTTCATTTATGTTGGAAGTGATAGCAGAGCTGTACGTTTGAATTTTTTCAGAAATCTCTCAGTCAGAACATGCAATATCATGCTTAGGTAACTAGCGAAACTAGCGAGCTAACTTCCGCTAGCTTCCTGCTAACTTCTAACTCCGTTAAATGTATAAATTTTGTTTTCATGGATGCCTGGAAGTTAAACTTCATAGTTACACCTGGTAAAGCAGCAATGCTGATTGTTTTATTAAAGATGAAAGAATTTAGACAGTTTTTAACTCTCAGTGATGCTGCAGTGTTCGTTTGACCTGAATGATACGGAGTTTAGGACCCAGATTACTCCCAGATTTAAGAGCATCTTAGTCCGACAAATATGACAATAACTACATGTTCTGCAAAAAAATGTGCTTTGTCGTGTATCTGACGGACAAACACCAAACCAGTTCCACATCACTGAAGTTGCCCCATTTTTACAAACCAATTCTGGTTCATCTGTTTCACTCAACAATCGGCCATGTGCGTATGAAAACAAAGGCACTGCGCATGCGCGTTTTACTCATATTGTATTGCGATATTTCATTTTCCTATCGTTGCCTAACATTATACAGTATTACCGTGAATGATATAATATGGCCCAGCCCTACTCTTCAGTTATCATTCATTTAATCTCTGGTGTTCTAAAGTAATTTCTCTGCATTAGTGCACTGCTCAGTTCAATATGGGAGTTAACTTTTTTCTATATTATTATTCTTTATTGCGCTGGTTTCCAAACTAGGGTACGCCTACCCTCGGGGGTATGGGAGAGGCTGTAGGTGATATGTGGGATGGGGTAATTACCAATTCAAAAAGCCTAAATTTGCACTAATACAGTTTAATGTGGCTATTACATACATGTGTATATACCACCCTCTGGTGTTTAGCAAAACAATTGCCCTGACAAAATACATGGGTGCGACTTCCCCAATTGACTGACGCCTGACTGTTGAAGTTGCACTGTTGAAGAAATGGACAAATGGTTAACCAGAAAAAAAATGCTCTGCCACCGAAACAGCGGCCACTACCACCAATTTAGCTCATATCTGAAGATGCATTTGCCAGTGACCGCGCAGGTGATTGTTCAAGAATGTGTTTGTCAGATTGGGATGCCAGCACAGATGTATCTGTGGTTACTAGCCAAGTATCTAGCATAGAAGGAGACAGTCATGTGGAAAGTAATGAAGGGTCTGATGTGGAGCCTCAAAGTGGGAGAAAGCATGTCACCTCTGACTATAACACAAAGAAGCGCAAATATGATGACAATTATATTTCACTGATGTTCACATGTATAAATACTGGGGATTTTCCCAGCCATAATGTGATAATTGTGCAAGTATTGTTTTACAACTCAATGAAACCTTCAGTATTGCACAGAGATTTAGAGACAAATCATCCCCATTTGAAAAATAAACCATGAGAATATTTTGAGCGACAGCTAAAATCACTTTCAACAAGTAAAAGCTGCATTTGAGTGCCAGATCCTATGAATAAAAACAGACGACAAGCATCTTATATGGTCAGTTTTAGAGTGGCTAAAAACAACAAACCCCACACTATTGTGGAGGACCGCATTCTCCCTGCTGCTTTAGATATGGTAGTGAGAATGTTGGGGGAAAAGGCAAAAAAGACAATACAGTCCATTCCATCATCAAACAATGCTGTCTCATCAATGCAACATCAGAAAATGTTTTACAGCAGCTACTTCAGCACATACGCCACAGTGAATTTTACGCAATACAACTGAATGAGTCCACGGATGTGGCTCCTTGTATATTTGCACAACATTCATGAAGGAACCGTCAAGGAGAACATGTTGTTCTGTAAACCACTCGAAGAAAGGACAACTGCAGTAGATATTTTTCAAAAGCTGGACACATTTATGATCACACATGGACTCGTGTGGGACAGATGTGTTGGCATCTGCACTGATGGTGCACGGGCCATGACTGGGAGACAAAGAGGTGTGGTTTGTGTGTACAGGCAGTTGCGCCAGATGCTTCTTGGGTACACTGCAGCATCCAGAGAGGCTCTTGCTGCAAAGGGAATACCTGTCCATCTGAAACATGTCTTGGACACCACTGTAAAAATTATTAACTTTTTGAACTCCCACTTATTTGCTGCATTGTGCAGTGAGATGGGCAGCGAGCCTGAGACTGTATTACTCCACACAGAGGTTTTCTTGCTCTCAAGAGGGAAAGTGCTGCCCTGTTTCTTTGAGCTGAGGGAAGAACGTAAAGTTTTCTTCAGTAACCATCGCTTTGAGCTGTCTGAACATTTGCATGATGTAGAGTACCTTACGTGCCTGGCTCATCTGTGTGATATATTTTCCCGTCTGAACGAACTCACTCTCGGATTACAAGGCGTTTCTACAACCATATTCATTGTTTATGATAAAGTTGTGGCCATGATAAAGAAGTTAAACCTTTGGAAGAACTGCATGGTCAAAAACAACACAGAAGCACACATTATCAAACAGTGTAAAGCATGACTGTAACATGCACCTTCAGGAGCTGACGGCGCAGTTATGCTGATACTTCTCATAGACGGGCGGGTTAAATGATTGGATACATCACCCATTCACCTCCGTGCCTACTTCGTCATCAGTGTCTGAGCAGGAGAGCCTAATTCAGATCACCACAGATGGATCTCCTAAAAGACCCTGCGCACTGAACAGCCTGTAACTTATTTATATGCAAATACAGAAGTGTAATTAGGATTTTAAGGAAATTTAAATAGTTTCCTTCATTTTATGACTTAAGAGATTTCTAGTTATCCATAACTTCTAGTGGACTCCAATATATTAGTTTTTATTGTCTAGGTTGAACAAATGCCATAAATATAATCTTTCTGTATTTTTTCTTATTTTTTTGTAGGCTGAGCATCTGTGAACTTTCAGAGAGAAGCTGTAGAGCTCTGTCCTCAGTTCTCACCTCCCAGTCCTCAAGCCTGAGAGAGCTGGACCTGAGTAACAATAGCATGGAGGATTCCGGATTGAAGCTTCTGTCTGAAGCAGTGGAGAGTCCACATTGTAAACTGAGAACTCTGAGGTCAGATCAAGTATATTCATTTTTTTTCTTTTGGTCTTTTTTTTCAGCTGACAAAATTAAACAGTTAAAAATTTAGCCCATAAATGTCAGCTTTATCAATTGTTGTTTTTAAATTAGTTTTAAGTGAAACTGTCACATTTTTAACCTGTTTAACCTCAGATGATAAGGATTCTTTAAAACACATTGCAAGTAAATAGCGCTAAATGTAGTAGTAAGTAGCTCCTTACTGAACCCTGATTACAGTTTAACGAGTGTTGTTTCATTGTTCATGTTTTAATTTTCAGACTGAGTCTTTGTAACCTCTCATTGAGAAGCTCTGACAGTCTTTCTGCTGGACTGCAGAATCTGAACTGCAAGCTGACTAGTCTGAGGTCAGATCAAGAGATATTTTGTTTCTCAAAATTAACCAATTAAAGTCCATCCATTTGTTGTTGCATCTTATGAGGTTTCCTGAAGTATTACTGAAAAAAAAAGTGATTAAATATATGAAACATATTATTTATGTTCTTGATTAATTTTCAGACTGAGCGCCTGTAACCTCTCAGAGAGAAGCTATGAAGCTCTGTCGTCGTTTCTTAGCTCCCGGTCCTCTAGTCTGAGAGAGCTGGACCTGAGTAGCAACAATGTGCACGATTCAGGCGTGAAGCTTCTGTCTGGCGCAGTGGAGACTCCACAATGTAGACTTAAAACTCTCAGGTCAGGATTCAAAAATGTTCTTACACTGTCATTTAAAATCTATATTGTTGCACAAACAGCTAAGCTTAGCAATTGTTAAGTGACCTTTTATTTACCTTTGAGTGGATGATTCTATTCTGAAAAACAGTCATAACATTTTTTATAGTCACGTTTTGTTTTTGTTATCGTTTCTTTTTAGAAAATTACTTTATGAACTGATAAACGTACATATATATAGCCATTTTGTGTCTATGACATACCAATATCCTTTCATGCTGGTAGGACAAAAACTTCCAAATGACATGTTTAAGGTTCATATGGGCATTAATGATATAGAATTTTGGGAAACATTATAGAAATGTCTTCATAGAAATAATCAGTATAGGAGGTTATTGGTGATATTTATTCACTGTTTAATTTTAATTTACACAACATAATGTTACATTTCTTAAAATTGAGATTTTTATTCTTTCTTAAAAACAGAAGTCTTTATTTCAGAGGCACTTCTGTCCACTAAACATAAAATCCCAATTTCTGACAGTATTCTGAAGGTTCTTGCAGTATTGATTGTTCATTACACAATTATTAGCAACATATTCCTAAATATTTGCTTAGATTTACTATTTTTGTCACAAACCCCCCCCCCCCCCCCGAGAATTTTGAGCCTGACTTCATCAAAGGAGGAAGATAGGACAGCTGGGTGAACTTCAGTGACTCAAAAAAGCAGACAGAGAGAGAGAGAATTATCTCAAAAAACACCCATGGTTTGAAGGAGAATATAAATCCTGCCCAAATATCAGTTCTAAGTTATATTAATGCAGAAAGTATATTTTCTTTAGAAAGTAGGAAAAAACCTAAAAACAATAAAGTTACTTAATTGTTATTCTAACCTTTCCCCTGCATTATGTGCAATGAAAAACTGATGGAATGTTTCATAAGACTGTAACCCATTTATTACAGGTGACCTATTTGTTAACAGTTCTCTCAAACTTTTTTTTCACTTTCTTTTTCCCCCACTAACACTTTTGGTGTAAATATTTCATAAAGGGGAGAAAACAGTGTAATAAAAACCTCAGACTGTCTAAGACATGGCATCCACAGAAGTAGAAGGAACGTTTCTTCATCCTGTGTTAGCAACCTCGGACCTTAGGACATGTTTGTTCAGTTAAAAAAAAAAAAGGTATTGGTCAATGTGAAATATACCCATGTGATTGCCTGTAATAGGACACATTTGAGCTTGGTTGTTTTTTTGGGGGGGTTTTTTGGATTATTATTTTCAATTAATTAAAAATAAGACTCATGGTAGGCATTACTGAAGCAGTTCCGACCATGGGTTTGACTTCCCCAAAACACCAGAGCAGCTCTTGCTCCTCCCACAAAACAGCTTTAAACCTGTGTGGTTACCACAATAAATGTAGTAGTCTTCCCCAAGTATATTTCATTTTATATACAATGCAGTGCCTCTTCATTCTTCATATATCCATGCTGGACATTTTGATAGACTTGGTCTCAGATTTTTTGTAGTTTATTGCTCTTGTTTAAGGTCAGAAGTCCTTGTACATGTAGCAATCCACTCGTTATACTGAGTCTAACCCTGCTTGCCTCAGTTTCGACTTCCTAGTTGCGGTGTTGGGTTCGTTATAGCACAGATACCACAAATGGTTGTCGTATAGACAGGAATCAGGGATACTAACAGTAAACTCCTGCATAAACATTAAAGAAAGAATTGACCCCAGACCATTCTTTAGCACAGAAACTGAACATTTACTGAACATAAGGGTAGGACAGACAATGTACAAAAACACACATTTTTTTTTAACTCAAATGATATTACAGTTTCATTCAGTAAATGAAATATGCTCTTTGAATACCCTTTAAAATGATATTAAGTCTTAGTGGTTAACTCACTGATACCTTATCAGAAATACGCTATGTAAATATACTAAATGCGCTATACTCACATACAGGCCCCCAGCACACTGACATTCACACTCATTACAGGCCAGTTTGTCAGCTGGAAAACACAGACGGAAACACAGGCGGTGTCTAAGTACTCAAGTATGCAAGTCTGTACTCGTGTTCTTGCTAGTCTGTACTTTGTAAAATTAGACGGAAGTCCAGACTTCCCCAGAACGCAGCGCAATCATTCTACAATTGGAACGGCAGTGTAGCTGGTAATATCTCAGCTCCAGAGTTTTACTGCCATCTCCCGTCAATTTAACTGTGATTAATATTTGGAATGGAAATTACACATGATGTAAAAAATTGCCACCTAGCAATTTTTAGTAGATTTCTTTAAGAAAAAAAGAGTTTAAAAAGGTATTTTAAGCAGTTTGGCAAAATTCGCTATTACATATGATTTGTTTTATAATGTCTAATAGGCTTTATACAGTTAAGTACAATCACGACATGACAGAAAGACAAGCTTAATCTCTCTATTAAGAAAAATAGTATACATGTACCCTTGAATAAAAACAAACAGGTGAGATGTTAGAACGCTTTTATTTTTATTTTTAGTAGACAGTCAAGCGTCTACTAAAGGTTTGTATTCATATGTATCCTGTTGAAAACAATTTTGATATTTTTAAGCAATATTATACTTATTTTAGGCCTTATTTACGCAATGCTATTAAGTAAGTGGGCTCTGGGTTCTTTTTTCAGTGTACTTTCGTATTATATAATTTAACTTACTTTTAATTTACTTGTCTGATTTGTAAAAGTAGTATTACCCACAAAAATGAACAGTAGTGACTAACAGTGCAGTAAATTACCATACACAATGTAAAGTAGATCTTAGCAACAGTCCTTTAATTAGCCAAAATAATAAAATGGCATGTTTTAATATTCGGGCTAACCGAAAAACAGCAATACACTAACTGTACAATGAATCCCCACATACAGTGTAGACCACTGGTAATAGAAACAATTACTGCCCCAAAAACTAAACATAAAGCTGGCACAAATACATCCTACTTTGCAGGCCTATGCTAATACTTGAGAATGTAGCAATCCAATAAGATCTCCAAACTAAAGTCTTTTCAGTAAAAGGGCAAAAAAATGCATCAACAAATGCGTTTGCGCTGACAAACACCTCCTTCATTTCCCTGGATTTGAAAGATGGGTCAGGTTCGTGGCCCAACCTATTTCAGAATTCATAGCACGGCTCTGCCAGTTCCAGTTTCCAAATATGGTGTCAGCTACTTACCTGTATTATTACTCTTTCTTGGTCACAAAATGAACTTTTAAGATATTTTCAGATGAGAATATCCATCCATCCATCCATCCATCCATCCATTTTCTTCTGCTTATCCGGGGCCGGGTTGTGGGGGCAGCAGCCCAAGCAGAGAAGCCCAGACCTCCCTCTCACCAGCCACCTCCTCCAGCTTGTGCGGGGGAACACCCAGGCATTCCCAGGCCAGTCAAGAGATATAATCTCTCCAGCGTATCCTGAGTCTGCCCCGGGGCCTCCTCCGGTGGGCCATGCCCAGAACACCTCACCCAGGAGGCGCCCAGGAGGCATCCTTGTCACATGCCCAAACCACCTCAACTGGCTCCTTTCAATGTGAAGGAGCAGTGGTCCTACTGATCCTGGTCCTGCTCTTTCTCCTGATTGGCCAAACTTCTCACCCTATCTCTAAGGGAGATGCCAGCTAACCTTCGGAGGAAGCCCATTTCCGCCGCTTGTATCCGTGATATTGATCTTTCGGTCGCTACCCACAGCTCATAACCATAGGTGAGGGTAGGGATGTAGATCGACCGATAAATTGAGAACTTCGCTTTTACACTCAGCTCTCTCTTCACCACAACAGACCGGTACAGCGTTTGCACCACTGCGGCCGCAGCACTAATCTGTCTGTCGATTTCCTGCTCCCTTCTCCCATCACTCATAAACAATACCCCAAGATACTTGAACTCCTCCACTTGGGGCAGGAACTTGTCCCTGACCCGGGTTGGGCACTCAACCTGGTCCTCAGCCGAAAGATGAAAATGTAGCTGTGTAAACTTCAAATATCTGTTCGATTTATCAAGACATCACATATTGGCAAAACTGCTCTGATGTTTTCGGAGACACCTGTTATTCACCGGCTCGATAGCTGATCGGGAGGTCAAGGCCCACTAGAGCCGGTGAGAAAATCGGACTCCCCGGCGTTTTCAGACCTGCCACGGTCTTTTGCTTCTTAGGTTAAAGATGACATATAAATCACTTAGATAACTTAAATATGTTGCTTGGCTTTTGGCTTATATTAAACAATGCACATATGTTTTTACACATTTTACATGAATTTTGACTTTTTAATGAAATAAAGAAATTGAATAAATGAATTTATCTCTTTGCTATTCATAATCTTAGACATTACTTATTTTTTACTATTTATGCATTTTTAAAATCCGGGTTATGTTATTAATTGTGTATATTCCCTGCACTTGTTATAGATGTTCACATGACCTATAAAAAATTGCCAAGTCCAAATTTCAAAAGGTGAATGTCATATTGACCTTCACGTTGGGTTGCGATTGGAAGTCCAAATTGTGGACCTAGTTTGGACGTCGTATAATGTCCAGAATGAACCCAATGGGATCTGCATGTCTGTCCTATGTCCAGTGTTTAGTGGGTTGTAATAACTAATAAGAAAAAAAAAAGGGTTTTATATTGATTTGAAAATACTTTCAATTTTGTTTTGGGATTTCCACTAAAATATCAAACAATTATATA